ATCAATTCATTCAAATGGTAATTTACACTCAAGAATTGTCTAATAATTTAAATTAAAATAATAAAATATGAGACTTCCACTCCTCGGCTTCAATACCACTCCAGACACATGTTGTGATCACATTTGGTGTCTCCCCTGTCATACCATTCACACAAATCAGTGATAAAGTTGCGGACAATTTCCACACACTTCTGCCTATCATATGGTATCCAGAGTTCGCCACCAATTAGATGAATGTCCGCAAGCATTGGGAACTCATAAATAGTTTGACACAAAATCTCGGACCGCTTTCCCGGGATAGACATGTAATTGGTTTCAACAGCCAATCGACGATTTGGCGAAAAGGTATATTGCTGAAATTTTAGGCAAAAAAAGTATATTGCTTAAATGACGTCAAAACTCGTTGCCATCCAGTTATAAAATGTGGCATGGTCATAATAGATTGAAACTTAATATAAACCTGGTATAAACATACAATGGTACAGTTGCTTGTATGAAAATCAGATAACATTAATAAAATCTGTTACTTATTATGTTAATTAAATCATTTTAATATATTGCACTTATATTTCTACACTATTAATAATACAAAACATGTTTATATATTATGTAACTTATATTTATATCTAAAAATTAATTCAATATTCAAGATGATAAATATTTTAAATATTTTTTTTTTAAAAAGAGCCCTGATATTTCATGTTTTCATTATATAGTTATTAGTAATTGTTAATAAATAAACCGATACTTAAAAATAAATCTACAGTTCTTTAATAATTATAAGTACCAGTATATTATAACCATAATTATAATTGTTTTAATAGTCAAAATTAAGCAATTACACATAAATTATTTACAGATTGATAGATAATAAAACTCTACAATATAGATATCATTATAATGATAATGATCATACTAGTAAAAATCTTATTATAATCATTAATTTCCACATTTGATCGTCTACATGCATAAAAGGGTTATCTATTTTTCAATTCAAACTGTATACATAACATAATCATTGCATTTATAGTATCTAATATTGTTTATTACTTTGAGAAATGCAATGATTATGTTATGTATAAAGTTTGAAGTGAAAAATAGATAACCCTTTTAAGCACCCAGTGGATCATTTATCCAATCAGGCTAAAACTAAGTGGAACATGGAACAAATGCCTTTTGTTGTCGTTATGTCTTGTCTGTTTACGTATATTACTGTCACCTAGTTATATTTTACGATTAAAGCATATGATAATATTAATAATAAAATATTGTGCCACACTATACTAGGTATATTAAATAATTTACGGATTTGCTTTTGTCCTGCCTCGTACTCTCGCTCATACTTCCAATACTCATATGTTATGTATACAGTTTGAATTGAAAAATAGATAACCCTTTTAAGCACCCAGTGGATCAATTATCTCTGGGAGGACATTACATTGTCCTCCTGAGACCCTCGGGAGGACTCTTTTTTGAGGGGCCAATTAGAGGACAATCCTCCTAAAGGAGGACGTTTGGCAGCCCTAATAATTAGACATAATTGCGATGATTATAATGAAAAGCACGCTTCGTTTCAGTGAACAAAATTAAGACTATAATTAAGTGAATAATTAGTAATTATTAATTACTATGAATTACAGTGGTTCACATCGCGTGAAAGTTTTCCAGTTTGTCTAACTTGTAACTAATAATGAAAACTTTGTTTTAATTAGTTATTAAGTAATTGCTAGTAGTCGTTACTCTTATTATAAAACCATTAATTTAGTTATAAACATATTACTTAAATATTTATTGACACTTGTTTAGAACATAACAATAAAATAATAGTTTAAAAGTTAGACAATTCTTATCATATGACACAGACCTTAAACTCCAGGGCTAAACCATTTTTGTTGAGATTTGATATAAAATTTTAATTTTATTCATATAAAAAACAATTACATTTCGCACTTTGATTCTGATAATTTGAGCAATACATTTTATTTCAACTTATTATTTTACCGGTAAGAGAAAGGTTTATTGCGTACCAGTTAACCCTAACCCTAACCCCTATATCCTAATAGTTTAAATTCTTTAAGTAAACACTTTGTATGTGTATCTATAATATTGATAGCAATCTCAACGATTTATTAATACAAAAGTAAATATATCATTAATATTGCTCTAAAATGGTTTGATGCATGGGTTTCTTGGATCTAGTTGTAATTTATCTAAAATTGTCAAGAACACATTATCAATGAATGTATTTCAAAAGCTATTTCTAAGAAGTATCTATAATATAAAACAATTGAAATTGAATCGATAAATAAATAACAAACATATTATTGTTATAATGGAAAGGCTTCTACCGAAAGGGCACTTTGCGGACACCTCGACACAGCCGGGCCAACTCATTTGTCAAGAAGTTAACCCGACACCATCACCACAATGTGCTGGCTGTCATTGAACGCAATTATGACGACCAGTATAACAAAGTGCTGGACAAACGTCAGGAGAGACCCAAACGGATCACATTCTTGACCCAAATATCCACGATATCCGCGGTCTCTATGACGTCGATGGAGACGTTGTCGCGAGCGCTCAGCGAATCCAAAGAACTCTTACTTCACATCTCAGCCGTCGATCTCATAGAATGGCCTCAATATCGGTGGTATCGCAGGATATTGGAGTGCATTAAAGCCATCCCTTACTTCGTAATGACTCTTTGCATACCTGTCGTGGACTTAGAGAGTCCTAAACACAATTGGTGTCGACTCTTGACGTGTATTCATATGATATTCGCGCCACAAATCGGTCTCTTCTTTCTCGAGCGTAAGAAATGTCTGAAAAGAAAAATAAATTTAATTCTAATTTCTGATTATTTTCGTGAATAACAGAAACAAATTTCCTGATTAACGACTCATTTCCTCTTTGGGCGGTTCTCTTGTTGTGTTCGTTGGGAGTGTCGGTCCTCTTATACCTCACGTCCAGACCCTCGGAACCGCCTATTTATCATAATTTGTTTGCATTCATTGGTTTTGGTATTTCTGTTTTATTTATTAACTCAATCGCATCAGAAGTCATCAATATTTTGGAAACAATTGGTATTATGTTTAGCTTAAGTGATGCTATACTGGGTCTTATAATATTAGCCTGGGGTAACAGTCTAGGTCATTTTAATTCATTTTTATAAGTTCAAACATTTAGTTTACAGTTTTGTATACCTCTAATAGACTTAATATCAGACCTATCAATGGCACGACGTGGTTATCCAGGTATCGGCATCTCTGCTTGTTTTGGTGGACCACTGCTTAGTAAGTCATTCATAATTACAATTATAATTATAATTGTGATTTTAATTAATAAATATTTTTTTGATTAAAAAAGACTTACTTTTGGGTTTGGGATTACCCTATACTATACTCTTAGTTGATGAACCAGAGGATGACGGGGTTGAGGTAAATGCTTATATCTATATAATATAGATATATATATATATTATATATATCTATTTTATAATTATGCTAAAAAATATTTTTTATTTTTCAAACTTATAGTTAGTGTACAACCACATGGTAACTTTATTATACACGACGATATCAGTTAGTCTGATATGATCGCTGGTCTTATTTATATGCAATGGTTTCCAATCGAAGCGATTTCACGGAATTTATTTAATTTGTATTTATTTGGTTTATGTGGTGTTTGCTGTACTCATTGAGTCTAATATTTTGTAAATATATTTTCCTTTTTTAATACAATACCATAGATATTGCATTTTACATACTAATAACTGACTAGTATCATTTCTGTATATTAAAAAAAATTACTTTTATATATTAATTGTTTTTAAAATTTCATATTAATAAATTAATGTTACAAAACGTTTATGCCATCAATCATTTATTTAAATCGATATTAAATTGAAGAATAAGAACAACAATAAATACTTTTAATTTCGTGATTAGGATTGAAATTCACTCGAAATGTGTCCCTTTTTCGTATATCACTGTCTGGTCCACAACCTAACTGTCCGTCCATATTATCACCCAATCCATAGACACAGCCATCACTCGTGAGAATCATTGTGTGATAAAATCCACAACTTATTTGATTAATTGATTTATTATCGATGTATTTGGGATCAAAAGGTTCCGGTTTTACGTATAAGTGATGCGGACTCTTGTGTGCCATACCTAACTGTCCCCTATCATTATTACCCCAAACATAAAGACAATTATGTTGAGTGATGGCTAACACAAAGTCGTATCCATTGAATAATTGTGTGATATTCTTGTGACACAATCTGTCGATCACTTTGATTTGATTGACGTATAGATTGTGTCCAAAACCAAGAGATCCTCTATAATTAGATCCCAAACCGTAAACCATGTCATCATTTGTAACAAACAATACATTATATCCTCTCTCGTCGTGCCATTGATAGGTCTGATATTAAGTCTATTAGAGGTATACAAAACTGTAAACTAAATGTAACAAGTGTTTCATTGTGTGAATCATTGGACTCGTGTTCCGTAGGCCTCACATCACTTGTATGTATGGATCGGCTATTACTGGACTTCACTCCCGATTGTTGTGGGCTTTTGTTGACAGTAATATTTAAACTCATTTTACCCACAATTAACAAATTATTGTTATTATATTCATATAATTATTGAATTAATTGTTTTAGAACTTTAATAATATTAATACATAAAACACATTACAACCTAAAACACTATTAATTACATACATTGTTAATAAGAAATATTTATTTACAGTGATTGTCATGGTATTTTTATCATATCTATAGATAAATTGTAATAAAAAAAAGCGCTCTAACAGTATTAGTATTATCAGTATTACAATATAATACAATAACCGTTTGAGTTTTTATAATCAAAATATTATACTTATATTTATCTCATAATATAACACATAATGTTTTTGTCAGAAATATTACTCATAAATCCGTTCAATACTTATACAGAAATGTTCACTTTTGTGTCATATATAGGTGACGGACACAAGTATTGCATGTTTTTGAAACCAAATTAATCGGGAGACCAAAAAGATTACCAATTAATCATAACTAGGAGTGAAATAAAAATGGATAAAAAGTGGGTTTTTATAACTGGGCTAAGTGTATCCATGTGATTCATAAAAAAAACTCATTCATTAATTTAATCAGTTTTTGATTTTCAAACATTAATTCTTTAAATAATTTTATATGAATATTCGTTTATATAAACACTCATTTGATAAAATTGTGACTATTTATTACTATTTTCTGTAAATTTATTGATTACTCAGGAAATTTTATTCATTATATATTTTCTCATCGATTAATAAAGGTTTGTGTGTTTTATTAATTGAATACTCGTCTAAAATTATTATAAAGGATTAAAATATTGAAAATCAAAAACTGATTAAAATAGTCAATAAGTTGTGTATTACTCACAGAGATACAAGTGGCCGTCTTTTTGTTACCCACTTTTATTTCCACTTTTCTGGAGATCCTAATCATAACATAAGGAATCGCGACAAAAAGATGTCCTGATCAGTTTTGGTCACTATATATATTTACCCGTTCGGCAGTTGTGACCAAAAGTATAAAACATTTTATGAAATGAGTGACAAAAGTATTGCATCCAACGATTAATCGCGTTTATCTGGACAGGGATTAACTCACTGTCTCGGGAAAGCATAATTACATTTAATTGACTTGATTATAGTATAAAAATCATTTACACTGTTCAATTATTTGTCCAGTATTTGTGGCCGATGTTCGGGAGCCCGAAACAATGACAACTAATACAATTGTGATGCTTTATAAACTATTTTAATTAATATATTTTATAATTATAATTGATAAAATTTACAAAATTTTAACCCGAACAATCAAAAAATGGCCCCGATTATTCCCGAACTCCCGAAGTATTGGCCAGGGTTCTACCCCAAAAGGCCTAAAACCGAAAAGGCCTAAACTCAAATAACTAACTGACCAGTGGACATATTTTTAATTAGATTAGTGGAATAGACGGGTCTTGACCCAACCTAACCTAAATTAAGATAAATGACCATTGGTCAGTTAGTTATTCAAGTTTAGGCCTTTTGGGTGAGTCCCATTATCCAGACTTTGATTACCAAATTTGATATAATATAACCAAAATATATCGGAATATATCCGAAAATGTTTCTCCAAAGGTATGGAATTAACAGAATTTAAAAATAACTTAAAAAGTTTATTTAAACATTAAATTGACAAGTTTTTAACTTACATGTTCATATACCAAATCCTCCATAGAAATAACATAACGGTTCTNCAGAATTTAAAAATAACTTAAAAAGTTTATTTAAACATTAAATTGACAAGTTTTTAACTTACATGTTCATATACCAAATCCTCCATAGAAATAACATAACGGTTCTCTGAAATGAACATGTAAGTTACAAATTGGTCAATTTACAGTTTAATTAAATTTTTTATGCAATCTCAATTTCTATTGAACCGGTGTAAATGTTTGTTTTACTATAATATAATCAAGACAATAAAATGTAATTATGCTTTCCCGAGACATTGAGTTAATTTGGCCTCAAAATCATGCTTGATGCAATACATGTGTCAGTCTCTATATTCATTACCTGATATTATATTAACTGATCCCGTTTATTATTATTTAAATATTTATTATATCACTTTTCAGTACAACATATATTGAGGTTTTATGTCAGGTATGAAAACCGGGTCCTTAACCGTGCCGTTAGGGCTCATATAATAGCCACACAATAATACTGATAAACAGGGTATGAGTACAGTTACAGCAAGGTGGTTTTGCTACTATAACCAGCATTGTTTCTTGTTAACCATAGATATATTAAGTGATTCCGTAAAAATCTAAACTCAATTAGTAAAATGCAAAATATTATGCATACCTCATACTATGAATGTTAAATCATCAAAGTTAAATTTATAGACAGAATTGAGTTTTAAAAATTATTTATTGCAATACAATATTGTATTCAATAAATTATTTATATTCATTCAATAACTAAACATTGATTTCCAAAGACTTTATGGTGTGCATTGAAAGCCAATTAATATTTTAAATAATATTTGCTATTATGAAGGACTCGGATAACCCTTTTGTCGCATAAAATAATTGTATTTATTATCGATTTGTTTGTGATTTTAATTAAATGAAAAAACAAGACCACCAATGATTTTAGTAATATTATGATCATAGTACCATTATTCATAAGTTTTACCATTGTCCTTATTCATATGTTAAGTTTAAAAATTAAAACTTGTTATTATTTTTAAATCTAGGTACAATTTAATTACAGATTTGAATTTAATAGTATATTCCAATGTAATATTGTTAGTAATATTTATCAAATATCAATTATTAATTATTAATGAACTGTTATTACAATAAAATTTATGATAATATTATTATATTTGAACATAAATTGTTAAATAAAGCACTCAATTGTTAATATTAATAATATAAGAATATTCTCAATGTTTGTATTTAGGATCAAATAAATTATTATAAATGAAATTTTTCTAACATAAGTTTGAATAATATATTTATTTAATTAACTTGTTTTTCACTTGAATTTAAAATCAATTTTCTCGATATTAATATACAAAACAAAACACTATATTAAACGTTATCTAGTACAGTATTAGGTGAAACAGAAAGTTCGTGGAACAATTCATTTTAATATATCTCCCAAAGTACAAATGACAGAATATTGCTATATATCATTCATCGACATATTTACCCCTGATAAGGGTAATAGCCCTCCAGCGGTCGGGTAGCATCGTTATCCCCTTCGAATCTTTCTTTTTGTTAACCTCC